AAAATAATTTCGTATGCACATCAGTAAAGGGTGCGTTAGCACGCCCTAGATCACCCACTCTTAGTATGAAACTATTTTTTTAAACAAAACTATTTGCCACTTCATGACCTATACCACACGAACAGGCAAGATTATTTCACACCATTTTTTTACTGAATTTTCCCATTTTCTTTCCTTTTTCCTTCCTTTCTCGTATAACTTTGGCTATGCTCGAAATAATGTAGTTGTTAATTAGGCGCATTGCCCTGTCTTGCTTTCTTTTGCTTTTTTATGTCCGTGTCATACGTGGCATCACATCAAAACATGAATCTCACAAGGCAGTCCTGCGCCGGCTAACCCTAACCGAGCCAAACAAAGAAAAAAAACTTGCATGTCTCCATATCTTAAGAAATGTGCTTAGGTGCTCCAACACTATCTTTTAATAACGCACGTCCTTATTAAGATAAGAGAAGAGCGAAGTTCCTCCCACTAGCTGTGCCAAGCTTAAAAAAACTGCGAATTGCGTTGATCTTCGGCTCTTAACGTGGCCTTCTTGCCTGATGTTAGCTCTTTCCTTGTCGTAGACAAAGTAGACTCGAACAGCGGCCTGACACAAGCCCTGCAAGAGTGCTCCAACTCCAACTAACCTGTAAAGCTGGCTGAGGCAACCGCGGTAGAAGCACGAGTCTTTCGTCGCTCGCATACTCGGCTCGCGTGGCGGGCAAATTTGGCGCGAAAGGTGCGTGGACTCTCTCCCTGGGTGGGCGTGGCTGATAAGCATCAGCGCGTAAGGTTAGGAAACTCGTGATGAGCAATGGCGCAGAGATGTCTTTTTTTGATGCGAAGCATAGAGCATGCTTGATCCGGTGGCGTCCGCACTCCACTCTCTCCTTCTGCTCCTTTGCCCAGTTGTTCCATCGCCTTCTCTCCTATACCCCCTCCTTATATATATATATATATATATATATATTATATATATATATATATATATATATATATATATATATATATATATATATATATATATATATATATATATATATATAAGCGCGTGCGCTTGGTCGGCCTTCTGCCATGCTCGATTCGGTCCCGTTCAGGTGAGTTGCCCCCGTATTTTAGAACGCCCCTTCACTCAACGCTCCACCTTCACTTGAGACAGCCGATGGTAGCGCCACCTCTAGGCAGGGCAAGTCACTGCGTATCAGTCATAATTTGCTGCTATTCTTGAGTAGCGCAGCGTCATTTTCAGCCGATCAGTGGCGTGGTGTCGAGTCGAGGCGCGTTTGTGAATACGGGGGTTAGCGTCGGCACCCGTTGCAGCAGCACTCCAACCTCTGCCGAGATCGATTGTGCGATTTGTCGTGCATCTGTAGATATGACAGGCGAGGAAACTTGCGGGAGTCGTTCCGAGTTTCAAACTTTCGACGACACGCCTTCATTGCTATCGTCTCTGTGGAATAACATGCATGAAAAGAACCGCAGTACAGTTAAACCCAAAAGATGTTACCGAACGCTTGCTGCTCCTTCGATGGGGGGCCCATCAGGTCCGATGCAAGAGTTCAGTGATAGCCAGAGATGAGTGATCCTTTCTTTGCACAACGATTTATTCTTACACGAGTGTGGTATATTTCCCATGGCACGCGCGCGCCTCGGCGATAGAAAGGGAAAGGATATAAACACAATTCATACTTTCGATTGCAGTGGAAAAATTCACGCCCAGTGCTAATAGAAAACATTTTTTCTCACCCCATTAGCAGATAGGAGAGAGGGATAGAAGAGGAGTCGTGAAGAAAACGGTGCAATATTAAAAATGTGCGTGAACACGCACTTCGATCGAGATGACAGTGCACTTTCGTAACAAACATATCAATACAGAGATAGCATTTCGAAAAAATAAAAAGAGGTCACCTGATCGTGCACGTGGCGCACGTTCAGCCAGAACGTTGTACCTTCTGCGCACCAGCAACAAATTCGCAGGACGTATCCAGAAATTTGGCACTGTGAACACCATAACACTTGTGCCGCGTGAGTTGACGTAGTATACCGACTAGGCTTAATTGCACAGTACGCCACTGATTCACGTACGCTTGAAAACCACTTGTCTAATCGATACATAGATCCTTTTAATTGAGCTGACGGATAATTCGATCACTAAGCTCTCCAGGCCTCTTTCGTAGCATCCTGTAGAGGGGCACCAGCACATACAGGCGAAATGCCTCAGGCAGGCTACAGTGTTTTTTTACCATACGGTATGAGCAGAAATGCTTTCGGATGGCGCCTTATGCCTCCGTTTTTGTTGCATCACGTAAAGCTGTCAAAAAAAAAAAAAGAAATGTGATGCGTAACCTGAATACCACCCTCTAGATGCACAGCGAGGTATTTTTTGACAATAAAAATGTGAAAATTGTAGTTATCAAACCTCCTTATACTGATTGTGGCATCGAAGACCTCTCTGATATACTGATAGTGCGACATCTCAAATACTACTGTTTTTTTTTAAGACAACCTACTTCAGCAAGAAAGGCATGAAATAAATTCAGTGTTTCAGTGCAACACGTGCTTATGCCTTTTAGAAAGCGGTTAGCCTGGTACGGAAGTAGCGAGGTTATATCCTCGCACATAATTCATCGCTCGTTACCATACGATACCAAGCACCTGTTTTCAGCGTGACTAATTTTACGGAATGTACAATTTTAGAGAACACACATACGAACCTAGTATAGTGCCAATCAGGTAATCTGCAAGGTAAGTCAACGGGGTTTCGATCAGGGGTCTCATACAGGACCGTAAATATTAAATAATTTGATACGGCATACGCCGAGTCTTGAGCGCCATCTTCCAGCGATCTTGCCGTAAACCATTCTTAGGAACACCCCGCGCAGTAAATTCATCATTCACAGCACTGCATTGAAGCGTTATTCAAGAGACACACCAATATACTTCGTCACTGCATTAGAACATTGCTTTCTTATCTGTTTCAGACTTTCCAAGAAAGATTACCTAAATCACGGACAAGTCAGACATGTAGTTGAGCACTCTTTGAAGACGGTTGCCGAGCAGGATAGGTACATTCACGAATACTGTGCAATCCTGAATTTAAACGAAGACGGAGAAAACATTGCGTATTTACAACAACTATACGACGCCCGATCAACTCTTGAACCGCTGAACAAGCGCTGCAAGCAAACGGTGTCGCGAGATCACAGAACAATTCGCATATGTAGATACTATTTTCGTAACCAAACTGGCTACGCGACACCTGAAAAACTACACACTTTCGGGGCTTCGGCCACATAGGTGCAGCGACCAACAAAGCGCTTAAGCGCGGGTCCTACAACATAACCCAGTCAGACTGGACAGCCTAAGCGTGCACTACTCCAGCCTTATTTATACTTCCACACAAGTCGCAAACGTCGGCCACACAGCCACTCACTTAACAAGATGTCATCATGGCGAATATGCAATGGCAGTGCGATGAGTGTCACAACGAAATCGGTGGACAGAGTGTCGTTGCCTTTGAACGCCCCAGTTTATGTGTTTTCTCTGTCAGACGCCATGCAGCTGTAATCCGACTTCTTCTCTAACACCCAAGGGCATAGCCCTGATTTCTTCGAATTTGGTTCAACCCCTCCTTGTGTGTCTGTGTTCGAGTGTTTGTGTGCATGTACACTTTTTTAGAATGAGAGGTTTGAAGCCACTCGTGCCCCTCAAACAAACCATCACTACCCCATTGGTCACATCTGTTCTGTAACTCCAGACTCTGAAAGTCTTGCACGCACTGGCGCGTTTCTTCGGCCGATAACACGAGAAGTCCTTTCGTAGGACCTCTAAGCATCAGCTCCGAAACAATGATTAATTCCAATTTCACAGGCCGCGCCTTCGCGTAGAGCATGCAGGCGTACGGAGTCTTTGCTATAACTGGAAGTGACGTCAGAGTAGCTAATGTTTTTTTTTTTACTTTATTCATCTGGCATGATACCTGTGAGCAACGATGGTCAACTTGTGTTTATCCGTCAAACACTACAATGTACTTCACATTACGAACCTTGAGTTATTTTTAAATAAGAAATTACTGATCTGAACTATGTATCTGTGGCTTTGCTTACAGAGCACGCCACGATATTCTGTAACGATGCTTAGCGAAGAGGCAGTTTCGTATCTCTTTTTACTCCACGTGACGTGACAGTCGGCAAATCCCTCCATGTTTTTTCTAAGCAAGTCACTATCTCCTGTAGCTCGAACATCGCACCTACGTAGAGTGCAATAACGCGTGATCACAAAGTTGTGACTGAAGTCGCGTCGTTAATGTTCGAAATCATTTTTAACAAGCGTCGTTGTTGCTATCGTCAAAGACTTTTCTTCTAAGCTAGCGTTCTCAGCACAGAAGCTGGTCGACGCTGCTTTCTTGGACACTTCCAGTAGACTTAGGATCATCGACGAATCGTACCAATTCGTAATCGCTAAACCATCTCAGGCTTGATCTCACGACTGCTCGGACTAAGGTAACTCGGGCACCTTGAAGCCGTCTCCGAATTCTCAGGCCGGTGCCAAAGGACACTGAGTGTGACGATTTCGATGGAAAAAGTCCACCTCGTCCGTCAATCATGGACGCAATGGATTGCACCGAGGCCGAAACCACCCAAGAATCAGCTCGAGAAGTAGCTATAGAGAAACTGTTATAATAATTGGTTCAGGTAGGCGACTGAACGCATGATGTATCTAACCATTTTCTCGGCAGATGTTCTTGAGATGCCTCTTATGGTACCTAATAACTACTATGGTATTTAATGAGTGACCGTGACTTCCTTAAGACATGCCGCTATGACTTCAAAACCTGTACAATGCCAACATTTGGGCTACCAGGTACAACACTAAAGTTTTATCTAAAGCGTGCATGAAAAACTCACATAACAATTGTTGCCATTTCGAACTGGAATACTCTTAGTATTCAATGGAAGCTGCCCAAATTTCCCGCCCCAGCTTTTGCGTGATAGCACAAAAGGGTTTTCAGCGCTCAAAAAGTGATGTCCAGCAACTTATAAGGATGCAAACATATTTAAAGGATCAAAATTTGTAAATACATGGTGTTCTGGTAACACAAACAAATCGTTAGACGAGTGATTGAATGATTGAAAGAAGAACAGAACGGAAGACATGCGACAATGTAAAATGATAGTGTGCGTAAATTAAAGAAATAACAAGCATCTAACCAGATAACAAAGCCTGACGCAATGTTACCAATTTATTGTTCGGGACGACAAACGCAATTCGTTTCACTTAACATGAGTTGAACCATTTCCTATGAACTGTCCCAGAGTTCAGCTATTCGAACGTTCTGATAATGCGTTCATTGACCCCAAAACTTCATTAAATCTTAATCAAAATATATGCAAATAAACTCCGGGCGAAAGTAAAAAGCTTTCTGTCACAAATATCAAACCATCAAATTAAACCGACAGATTGTCAATTATCAGAACTGGTTGTGTTCATCCTACAACGAAAATGCGTTTTCGTGTACTAATAAAAAATAATGAAATGATCAATTCGGTATTAGTAAGAGACCTCAACGTAGCATGTGTGCAAGAAAATGCAATCGAAGCGCAGTTCGGTATCCAAGACTGCAGAAAACAACTTGGTAAGGCGGTTGCCCATGACAAGTAGTTTTAAAGAATCATAATAATACATTATTCTACAAACAGACGGTCTGATATTACAAGTCATTCATCAGACATAACTGTACTATGAGAAATAATGAAACGTACAGCGCATCAGGCGATCGCCACCCTCTTGAAGTCCATTTACCTGCTCGGAGAGCTCTGTTATCCACGTAGCCCAGCTGAGATCACAAGTTCGGCAGTGTCTGAACGCGTGTCGTAAGCACGCAGTACAAAATGCTTCAACAGAAAATGTCCTGGGGGCTAGAAATCAAAACGGACGTGGTTGGTCCGACGGCACACTATGTGCGCCTTCTCGGAATTTCGAAAGCGTCAAATGTGTAACTCCCCAAATGCATCTACGATTTCAGGAGCACAGCGATGACTAGAACATACACCGGGATGGGGAAAGCAGGCAACATCACGCTGAGTACTCCTTGTTTGCTTCAGGCCGACTTCTCTGGATCGAAGGGAGCCCATCCAGCGGGCGACCATTTCAATTGATTTCTTATCCTTAAAAGATTAGGTTGCCCGTCTGGTATGTATGTGCCTAACTGGGCTCTTCCGCTTTGGATGCTCTCTCCAGTGCTGCCATCCACCTGCACGAGCCGAGCAAAGCAAAGAAAAAAGGGGCTAGTTAAACAAATTACAGCATGGGTTAGTTCTTTCATGTTGTTAGTGCGGAATGTAGGCATTGCACCTAAATAGATACCTTATTGCAACAAATTATGCCAAAGTTCATCGTCGATTGCATTTATTGACGCTGCCCTCCTTGCGGGTACATACAATGTCTAACTGGCGTGGAATTGGCAGGAATTAAAGTTCGACTGCTATTACTACTACACCCTATCATATCATGTAGCTGTAGAGGTTTTTCATCTCAAAACCATGATACGAGGGACGCCTTAGTGGAGGGCCTCGGATTTTACCATCTAGTGTTCTTCGAGACGGAGCTAAATCCCAGTACACAGGCCTCAAGCATTTTCGCCTCCATCGAAATGCGACCACCACCTCCGGGATTCGAGCCTGCGACCTTCGGGTCAGCCATCGAGCATCATAACCATTACATTACCGTGGCATTATACTCCATGCATCATGTCAGTAGTTTGAGATTTACGCGTGTGCTGTTGTTGGATTTACTTCCCTGTACAGCGTATGTCTAACTAAATCTTGTTGGACTCGTTAACTGGTCGTAATGTAGGTAAATTTAGCGCAGCTTAGGAATCCCAAGAAACACTCACACGATTCATGCTCAAACATTGACAAATTTTCACAGTGGAAGTGAGTGTGAATCTGTGAGTGTTAGTAGGGACTCCGAAGCTGCGTTAAATTTAGCTACAATATGTGCAGCGTATAATCTCAGAACGTGTCATTTCGATGATGTTTTTTTTTGGTGCGGTCTATTTAGACCCCTCACTAACAACTATTTTATGTCAGAAACTAATTTTTATATTTTTTCGTGACCTTCAGACTAAATTACTGTGAACTATTTGTGGACAAATTATAAACTTACGAAGTAGTAATTGGCAGCCTATAAAATAAGGTCAAATGAAGTTGTACTCATAACGTTTCCTCCTCTCATCCCCTTTGCTCAAGAGAGAGAGATGTTTCTATTGAACTTGCACATGCAAACGTTCTCGTCACGCAGTTGAGAAAGAGAGAGAGAGAGATAATTTATTGACAGAAAGGTAGAGAGGCCGCGAGAGCTACAATTTGCTCCGGCGTGCTACCCTACGCAGGGAAGGGTGACAGTGGAGCCAAGGAATGATGAATGACGATGGTCATTTATCATTCATGCACCCAGTCCAGTGGTTTCTAAGAAGGCTACGACGGCTCCTACAACCACGTTTTCGCTGCTTGCGTAAGGCCAAGGTCGTAACACCATCAACGTCCATTTATCGCATAATCGACTTGCAGCGAAAAGGCACCTCAAATTGTACCTTAGGAATAGTGCAGTCAAGGATACAACTTCGTGTACACATACGCGCGTACCTCTGTGCATCTTGAGCGTCCTGGGCCTGGAAGACATAGGCCCTCCGCTGATGGAATAGCTTGAAGGCGGCTGCGCAGCTGCGAGGCTCCAGGCCGTCGGCCTTCTCGGCGGCCGCCACCGCCAAACCAGGAACCGGAACTGACGTCAGCGGAAGCTCGTCCTGCATACAGAAATAGGCAATGAATGGCACCGCCGATTAAGCCATGAGAACGTAAGGCGTTAGTGCTGCAGTTTGATCTAGACGTCAAATCCCGCGTATTCTCGAATGTAACTTCCATGCGAAAACGACGCTTCACTTTTAATGCAACGGTGGCGACGATGACGGGGATAATATTCGGCGGCATCCAATTTCAAACAATGCTGCATATCCATGTAGCGCTGCTTAAGCTTAACATGTTTTACAAATGTTGAGCAGTTGGGCATTCCGCATACCTGTACTTCATGATCTTAAATGCTCTACATCTGTCCTGTAGAGTAAACCTATGCCTTCAATAAGCCAGGTTACGCGCCTCTTTCACGTACCGATCACTGTCCAGTTGACCCTTTTGTCGATGTTTCCTATGGTTCTTGTCAGGATGATAGTAATGGTGGCCACAAGCGTATACGCGTTCTTCATTCGGAGAAGAAGGCGGGGGGGAAGGGGGCAAAAAAATTTATCTCGGCATTCTCCCCATTATGGTTGAAATAAATACAACGTGCTTCCGAATAGATGTAAAAAAAAAATCAAGATGAAGAGACGACATGCTTCCCGCTGTAGCATGTCCTTGGCCCGTACCTTTCCAGTGGTAGTAGTAGTAAGCAGAGGAGGAGGACAAAACCGTTATTAAAACCAAGGAAAATTCTTTCCTCGATTGCAGGCGAGAAAGCAAGTAAAAAGCTTTTTGAACGCTACATCGTGTTTTCGTCTCACTTCAATTTGGCAACACAACCTGATAATTGAAAGTAAAGCTTATGTAACTGATGTAACTGACGTTCACGATCGGCTGTCCGAGCCTTCCTCTGCTCCGCGGCGGTGGCACCGCAACTATAGCGTTGACGTTGTTCATGTCGTTTCGCACACCAATGCAGAGCGAGAATGACGCAAGCACAGCGAACGCACGCTTTGCACTGCGCAGCGATAGTTGCGCCGCCTACCAGCGTACCCTTTAAGAGAGATATGGAGAGAGTGAGAAAAAGTTCATCATCATCATCATCAGCCTGACTACGTCCACTGCAGGACAAAGGCCTCTCCCATGTTCCGCCAGTTAACCCGGTCCTCTGCTTGCAGCTGCCAATTTATACCCGCAAACGTCTTAATCTCATCTGCCCACCTAACCGTCTGTCTCCCCCGTAACCCGCTTGCCTTCTCTGGGAATCCAGTTAGTTACCCTTAACGACCAGCGGTTATCCTGTCTACGTGCTACATGCCCGGCCCATGTCCATTTCTTCTTCTTGATTTCAGCTATGATATCCTTGACCCCCGTTTGTTCCCTAATCCACACTGCTCTCTTCTTGTCTTTTAAGGTTACACCTATCATTTTTCTTTCCATTGCTCGCTGCGTCATCCTCAATTTAAGCTTAGAGGAAGGTATATAACAGCTGTATCTCTTGTCGGTACTTAGCTACGGAGCAGAAACCTGGAGACTTACAAAGAGGAGAGAAAGTTATATGCCATTATTTGCTGCCCCACACCTGACGCAGAAAATGCAAGAGGGGAGCGCACACTTGCATAAGAGAGGAAAATGAAAGAGAGTTGCACATGCGCAGTAAGACCGCGGACGCCGCAGAACGGACACTGCCATGACCATAAGACGCTCTCACACCTAAAAAGGAGTTCTCAGGGTTGCACGAACTGACCTGTTCCGAGCGGAAGGAGTAGAGCACGAAGTCCCTGTGAAGGGCGAACCACCGCCTTTGCCAGTGAGCGCGCCGGCCGCCCGTCTTGAGGCGAAGGTACCCGCTTAGCACGGCACCTGAGCACTGCGTCATGAAAAACAACAAGCACAAGAAAGGGTACATCACTCTCACACATCGGACAGTGAGAAAATTTCGTTTCGTTGCTACAATGTTTGAGCAGTGAATCAATATGAGCCATCATTTGCCCTTTGTAGTGAAATTCCTTCATAATATCATTAGTAGCAGTAAGGGGGTGGAGCCACGTTGATACGTTTTTCACGGCAAACGGGAAATGAAACGTATTATGCTAAAAACGTGTTCACGCTTAGAAAAAGCGAGTAAATGAACACTCCACGAGCAACCTACTTTTACTGAGCAACGCCGAACTATTCGCGCCTCACTTCTTTTCAACGCCTGGCGGTACCTATTCACCTAGGATTCTACACCTTCGTCCTCGATTATGATTAGGTTTCGCTATGGCACAGTGCATCGCCTGGCACATCATCCCCTTCATCATCACCACAACAACCACCATTGTATGCAGCGGCCACGCATAGCAGATTTTCACATCAATATTGACGCTGCTGCGGCCTTACCAGCCCTGCAGTATGCAGGTCATGGATTGCGGTGTGAGCTATCCTATATGGAAGAATAAACATAGGATTGCTATGTTGGTCCGGGTACATATTCTAGGTCATATTATCCAATTTTGTGCAAAGATTGAATCCTATTAGGCACAAGAAAATGCTTGATTTTTGGAGAAGTTGGCCGGGATTAAAATCAAAACTTAGCGCACCAAAACTTATGCAGAATTGTATCAACGATATTCCAATATATTTGGTGTTGCAGTAGTTGTAATAGCACTACAGGATACGTAGTTGTGGTTGCAGTATTAGTAGTAGTGGTAGTAGTAATATGTGGCGGTTTAGCTAGCAGAAACCACTGCATATGATTGTGAAAAACTGCCATACTGGACGCTTCCGCAAATTCGAGCCATCTGGTCTTCTTCATTGTGCACTGACATCGAACGGTAAATTTCGCCTCAGTCGAAATGCGACCACTGCGACTGGGATCGATCCCGTGACCTTTGGGTCAGCAGCCGAGCCACGTAGCCACTGTTCCACCATCGTGGAGTCGTTGTCGTGATTCTAGTCCTTCTCGTCGCAGCCGAAGCAAAGACAGGCGTATCCCCTCCCCTACCGATCGACGCAATCAACATTGAAACAATGTAGCGAGCCGCCAAACTCTCACTGCCAAACGCGTGTCGCGTATGAACTTCGCACCGCTGCCGTACCTGTTGCTGTCCGGGGGCAGCGGGAAAGGTGGCACCGGACCGGCAGGCGAGGGCAGTTCCTCACATCCCGGCAGAGGGCAGCACTGCTGCTGGTCGTCGTCGCTCATGGGCGCCATGGCCGCATAGCAGGCATCGCACACGCGACATGCGCGACCACCGTCGTACTGAAGGCGAGCCTTGCGCGACACGCACTTGCTGCAGGCAACCTGCGCAAAGGAGGCTCATGCACACTGGGCTATCGCTTGCTACATGCATTACCGGATGCGCCCGCGGTGGTACCCCTGCAGATGGCGATACATTGTCCCTACATTAAATGCCGCTGTTGTGGGAGGAAAACACCGCAGTTTTCTAGAGCTCTTACTTGGAAAGCAGATACGCACGCTTCACGATTTTCTTCTATGGAGCACACCATCACGTACAAGTGTAACAGTTATAACAACAGCGGCTAACAAACTTCCTTAAGACAGGCACGCATGTACAGACCCCATAATGCGTACTGGCCCATAATGAGTATGTATAGATATGTTGTCTATACTCAATACGATTTCTGTACCGTTCGAAACATTGCAATTATGTAAATGTAATTGAAAGCTGGGCACTAAAGAGTGGCTAACGTCTGTAGAGGGCATATCGAGTAGTAACTGAAACAATATCTCGAGAGGAGCGAAAGGTCCAGACGTCCTAACCACCCTCCCGATTTCTTAGTTTTTAAATTTACACCAAAATAAAAGGTCCTATCAGATCCTGCAGCAAGCTTACCCCCTACTTCCCATAAACTGAACCCCATCATGTTCAGTGAAAACAAATCCTGTATCCGTCCCACAGCATTTCAATAGGCAACGACACTCGCATCTTCCTATACTCAAGACTAACTGACACGGATATTTATTACTTTATCTAGGTGTTATGTTAAATGCGTCCAGTGTTTGTGAAAATGACTGCAAGGAAACAGAGCAGAAGAAACGCTGTGTTCTTGCGTACAGCGCTGCTCTTTTCCAATCACGATTCGCGGCAACGAAAACTTTTGAACATTTTGTCAGTGAGTCAATGAAGAATGTTACTGAGGGGTTTTGAGGAGTTGAAGTCGCCGGGGGGCCCACGAGGGACACCGTTCAGAATGTGAGACAAGTGGGTTAAATAAGAATGTTACGGGTTCGACTCACGATCCCGCAGGCATGGCAGTGATGCTTCCATCGCAGACCGAACGTGGAGAATCCCGCCGAACAGCGCATGCACTTGGACACGGTGTCAGCTCGAACCAGTACGGGGGCACGCAGACCTAGCTCGGCTCCCTCGGGGCTCTGCGACAGGATGGAAGTCATTACGTCTTTTGCAGGAAGCTATTGCAGGCCTGCGTTACGGCATACTAACTGCGTAACCAAGTCAGTCACACTGAAACAACGCCAGCACACCAGGAAGTCAGTTGCGTAGCCACAACGTACTTTTTTATGTTCGAAGGGGAGGGGGGGCGTTTCAACCATATCCGTACGCAAGCGCGCGTGTACGCTTGTATGTGTTCTTGTGTATAGGCTATAAACGTAAATTAAAAAAAAATTCAGGGAAAAACATTGATTTTCCCACCCACCCCCTGGCCATGCCAGCGCAGAAAATGGTACCAGAATTAACATAGCAATGATGAATTGATGATCCCTGAATAAATGTTTATTATCCTGAAGCAGTGTTCGTGAGCTGGGTCAGCTACGGCTGAAGTATACAATCTCAAAAGTGAAAAAAAAAATAATAGTTTTGCTTTCATGGCAAGCTTACCTTTTGACCCTGAACGTAAACTTTCAAGGAACTCTTTCGCTGCTTGAGGTCGTGGGCAGCCTTGGCGAGTGTCTGAAATAAGCGATCCGGGCGAAATTCGCTTACAAATTGCTTTAAAGCAAGCTAGCATAAAAAAACGTGCGCTTGGTTTCAAGAGCGTAGAACTGTAAGTATATATATATATATATATATATATATATATATATATATATATATATATATATATATATATATATATATATACGCAGTGAAGAAGCGCTCGTACGAAGTGATTTTATTGACGTTTCGGCCGCGGGTTCTGCCTTCATCAGAATACAGTGTATGGCATATCAATAAGGTAAAAGTATGAAAACTGACATGAAAGGCAATATATATGGACATATATAAATACAACTCACACGATTTGACGGGCACCTGATACACGTGTAAAAATATATCGTTTCCATTCGCGAGCACGTGGCGAGCATGTTGTTTACAAATAAAAGATAAAACACATGAAAAATATAGGCCATAACAAATAAACACATTATATATATATATATATATATATATATATATATATATATATATATATATATATATATATATATATATATATATATATATATATATATATATATATATATATATATCTCCCATGCATAAAGTTCGCACTTGATTGTCAAGACGTCACGTGCCACAGCGCTATCGCCAAGGTCCTTTCATCTTAGTCCCCGGTAGTGACTCTGTGGTTCACAAAGCATCAGCAACTCTCCCAAAAAGTTAAGGCGAAAGACTTACATTGAATTGAATTGAATCTTTATTTTTAGATCGCTCACTAAACGCGAAAACTGACTGTAGAAGTCTCCGATATTTGTCGAGACATGACTAAACTTCGCGAGACCACGATCGCAATAAACATGAATGACGCAAAACGGTAAGTACCAAATGTGGCTCCAAAGCCACGTAGTACTCGAGTGAATATGCGTGTACAGTCGGCTTACCAAATGTAACACGACCTCAGTGCGACACGACGCTATCAGTGACGTCACCCTGTGACATAATTGTGATTTTACATATCACACGAATGTGTCACGGGACAGTGACGTTAATAAGACGCCACAGCGTTACGGGTCAATACATCGACCAAGAATAAGATGGTTTTCGCCTTAGGCGAATGCTAACGTTCCAAAGACGTTACGATAAATTGGCATTCCGACTCAGGATTGGTGACGTGAAACTCACCTGCATCCAAGCCAACTTTTCTTCAGGTGACCTGCACATGAGAAATGGAAACGTCAAAGTTTGATCAGGTGTTTTATTGTTGAAATTCGAAATTCTAAAACTAGCTCACCTTACACTGGCCCAAGAATCTATCATTTGAGGCCTAAATCTGCCTTCAAACGTGAAGAAAATATGACAGCGAAAACGTCCACTGTCCTGCCAGAAGTTATACCCAAAGTGCATTAGCAAGACTAATTGGCTAACGCTCATAACAGACTTTGGTCGACAAACATGTGCACATGGGTAATTGTTCTATACCTTCACCTACCATATTTCCGGTTTTATGTTCTGCTGCTCGCATGTACGTATACGTACATCAGACGCATACGAAGCTAAAACATTTCCTGTCTCAGTACTGTGTGTGTGTGTGTTCTCCCCCGTCCGTGTTCACCCACGCTGTTCAAGTTTATTCAGGTTATGCCTCTTGCATTGTCGTCAGACACAATACTAAGCGGGCATGTTTGCATTATGCGTCAGTGCCATGACCAACCGCAATAACTGGATATACGATAACTGATACGACGAAACACTGCTTTGCTTAATTCATTGAAGCATGGTCTGGCTGAACACATGAGGGCTATACTTGCATCTCTGCAATTTTGGTGTGTTCACACGAATCGATTTTCCCTAAACTTATTCAAGCGAGAATTATTCGTAATGATAAACTACGATGAACACGTTTTCAAAGACGGGCGACCAACGACAAGTACCACACCAGACGAACAACCAAATTTTGTTATGAAAAAGGGTTTATTGGCGACTGTTGCGACGGTGGTCCTACGATGAAACACGATCGGACAAGAGCAACGGTCGAGCAGATGCCGGCGATGATCAGCACGAGCCGAGCGAGCGAAGCCAAGCACCCAGTACCCAAGCGGTGGCGATGTTGTTTGCCAACGATGCGTTTTCTTCTTCACAATTTGCCCCCGCCGAAAAAGAGCCATCCTGGCGACCTAAGAGTCTGGAGGCAGAGGGCTATGATATGGCTTAAGGCGGGCGATGTGGACGATGTCACGTCCACGCCGGCGCATGTCGTCAGATGGGGAAAGTGGCTCGATGAGAAAATTCACCGGCGAGGTTTGCTCCAAAACGCGGTATGGGCCCTCGTACTTTGGAACGAGTTTTGAGGATATGCCGGGGCTGTGGTAAGGAACAGCCAGCCATACAAGTGATCCCGAGGAATAGCTGGGGCTTTGTGAAGAGTCGGCGTTGTTTTCTTTCTGGCGCTGTTGTTCTTGCGACGTAAAGGTGCGTGCGAGTTCACAGCACTCTTCCGCATTACGGGCAGCTTCGGACACAGATAGGCATTCGGATGCGTCAGGATGGTATGGAAGGAGAGTGTCGATGGTGTGGGATGGTTCGCGTCCATAAAGAAGAAAGAAAGGTGAAAATCCAGTGGTAGAATGTGCCGCGGTGTTATATGCGAACGTGATGAATGGAAGAATGCGATCCCAGTTAGTATGATCGGATGTCACATACATGGCGAGCATATCGCCAAGGGTGCGGTTAAATCTTTCCGTGAGCCCGTTAGTTTGCGGGTGGTATGCAGTGGTCTTGCGATGAACAACATGGCATTGAGAAAGCAGAGACGTGACGACTTCTGATAGGAAGGCTCGACCTCGGTCGCTTAGTAGCTCTCGAGGTGCACCCTGTCTTAGTATGAAGCGATGAAGGATGAAGGATGCTACGTCTCGCGCAGTGGCACTTGGAAGGGCGGCGGTCTCAGCGTAGCGTGTTAAATGGTCCACAGCGACTATGATCCACCGATTTTCATCTGATGTTGTCGGTAGAGGGCCATAGAGATCAATTCCGATCCGATCGAAAGGTTTGGCAGGGCACGGGAGCGGTTGAAGCGCACCGGACGAGTGGAAAGGCGGTGATTCGCGGCGTTGACAGTCAGGGCAGCCCATAACAAATTTTCGAACGAAATTATACATTCCGCGCCAGTAGAAGCGATGGCGAATGCGTTCGTAAGTTTTGAAAACTCCGGCATGACCACATTGGGGATCGTCGTGAAAGGAGGCGCAGATTTGTGATCGCAAGCTGCGCGGGACAACCAAGAGCCACTTACGACCTTCGGGGACGTAGTTGCGTCGGTGTAGCAGCCGATCACGAATCGTGAAATGAGCAGCTTGACGTCGGAGAGATCGTGGTACCGCAGTGGTTGACGATCCAGAGAGACAGTTAAAAAGGGAAGCGATCCACGGGTCCTTGTGTTGTTCACCGGTAAAAGAGTCGAGGTCGAGAGATGCGACGGAGTTGGTACCAGTGGTTTCGCAGGCCGAGTCGGGAGGTAAAGGCGAACGCGACAGGGCGTCGGCGTCAGAATGCTTGCGTCCGCTGCGATAGATGACACGAATGTCGTACTCCTGGATTTGCAGTGCCCACCGAGCTAGGCGGCCAGAAGGATCTTTCAATGTGGCGAGCCAACAAAGTGCATGGTGGTCCGTTACCAGGTCGAATGGGCGACCGTACAAATAAGGGCGGAACTTGCGAAGCGCCCACACTAGCGCCAAGCACTCTTTTTCAGTGACGCTGTAATTGGCCTCAGCTTTAGTAAGTGTGCGACTCGCATAAGCGACGACGTATTCGGAGTAGCCCGGCTTGCGTTGGGCGAGGACGGCGCCTAGACCAACCCCACTAGCGTCTGTGTGAACTTCCGTTGCAGCTGTTGGGTCGAAATGCCGAAGAATTGGAGGAGATGTTAGCAGACTACGGAGCGTGGCAAACGCGACGTCGCAGTCAGAAGACCAGGATGAAAGGTCTGCATCACCGCGTAGGAGGTTGGTCAGTGGTGACATGATCGACGCAAAATTTCGCACGAAGCGCCGGAAGTACGAGCATAGTCCGACAAAACTGCGTAATTCTTTCAGTGTAGTAGGTTTCGGGAACTCAGCGACTGCTCGCAGTTTTGCAGGGTCGGGTCGAACACCATCCTTGGACACGATGTGCCCTAAGATGGACAGCTCTCGCGCGGCGAAGCGGCACTTTTTAAGGTTCAGTTGGAGCCCAGCGTTGGTTAAACACGTCAGCACCAGTTGGAGCCGACGCAGATGTGTAGGAAAATCGGGAGAGAAAACGACAATGTCGTCGAGGTAGCATAGACACACAGACCACTTCAGTCCACGCAGTGTGTTGTCCATGAGTCGTTCAAACGTGGCAGGAGCATTACAAAGCCCAAATGGCATTACGTTAAATTCGTACAGGCCATCTGGTGTAATGAACGCAGTTTTCTGGCGATCAGCTTCTGTCATAGGAACCTGCCAGTATCCAGATCGTAAGTCTAAGGAGGAGAAGAATTCGGCTCCTTGGAGGCTGTCAAGGGCGTCGTCGATGCGCGGTAATGGATAGACGTCTTTCCGCGTCACCTTGTTTAATCGCCGGTAGTCGACGCAAAATCGAATCGATCCATCCTTCTTTCGAACTAGAACGACAGGAGATGCCCAAGGACTGTGCGATGGTTGAATAACGCGACGGCGTAGCATCTCTTCGACCTGGTCGTTGATGACGTGACGTTCTGCTGCAGAGACACGGTACGGTCTTTGACGCAATGGCTGGTGCGAACCGGTGTCAATGTAGTGGTGCACTGCGGAAGTCCGACCCAATTGTGGCTGAGAAACGTCGAATGAATTCGCGAAGTGCTGGAGAAGATTAAGAAGCTCGGCGCGTTCATGGGCACTTAAGGTGTCGGCGATGGAACTCGAGAAGGTGTCACTCGATGAGCATTCCAGTGGGGAAAGGGCATGAAGTTCGGTCGAGGCGCTACTGCACGATTCGTCTGGCATGTTAAGGAATAAAGACGAATCGAGGTACTCCACTCGACCGAGGCATTCGCCGGCAAGTAGCGTAAGCGGTGCAGAAAGGGGGTTGTGGACGAAAATATTGCTTCGGCCCGCAGTGACGTCGAGTGTAGCGAAAGGCAAGGAAACGGCTCTGCGGCTCATGAAAATGTCGGAAGGTGTAAACATTACTGTAGCGTCGTTATGGTCATCGCAGCAAACAGGGACAACGGCAAGAGAGGCTGGCGGAATTTCAGTGTCTTCACGTACGACGAGTTTTGGACACCGCTCAAGAGTTTCGTGCAAAGGTTCGTCATACAGGTGCGAAAATTGAACTTCAGCGCGTGCGCAGTCGATGACGGCATGATGTTGTGACAGGAAGTCCCACCCGAGGATAACGTCATGCGAGCACACCGAAAGGACGATGAACTCGACAACGTACATAGAGCCTTGGATGAAAATGCGGGCTGTACAGGTGCCGAGAGGTCTGACTGGCTGTGCGCTAGCCGTACGAAGCGATAGTCCAGAGAGCGGCGTGGTCACTTTGCGTAGGGAGCGGCAGAGCTGGGCGGCTATAACAGAAACGGCAGCACCTGTGTCGATGAGGGCAAATGTAGAAACACCATCGACAGATATGGCGACGACGTTAGCAGGTGAAGTGCGAGGACTTGGGCATTTCGATGACGGCGCAGTTCTTGCCTCTGGAACTGCGGCGTTCAGTTTTCCCGGTTGGAGGAAGCGGGTCGGGGACGCATTGGGGACAGAGATCGCCTTCGAGGAGACGGCGAGCGGGAAGAGTGAGTCGGAGCTGGGCGCTGGGGTGACTGAGACCCGGGAAGATTAGTGTAGCCATACTGCGGTGAAGGATAGGGAGCAGGTAGGTGCGTGGGCGGCGGGTCATACGGTAACGGCCAAGTAGCGTTGTGTTGCGATTGGAAACGACGACGACAATATCGTGCCACGTGTCCTGGAGTACCGCAGGCGTAGCAGATTGGTCGATTGTCAGCAGTGCGCCAGGAATTGCTGACTCGCGGTGCAGCCCAAGGTGTCGAAAGAGGGGTAGAGTGGGGAGCAACTGCAGGCATGGGTGGCAAAAGCTGCTGGCGGGGTCTGCTGCGTACCACCTGGGCATAAGTAAGAGGCGCGGCCACGGGCTGCATAGCCGGCGCATGGGGAACAGTCACGGCCACAGGCTGCTGGTGGGCAGCGACGGGAACAGCCTGAGCTACCTCTTCGGCAATAACGTCGCGGAGTGGTGAGGGCAGACGAGAGGACGGCGGCTGCTGCGTGAAGGGAATCAACGACAGTTGCCGAGCTACTTCTTCACGCACGAAGTCTTTAATCTCTTGCAGGGTTGGTGTGTGGTCGGGAACGGAAGTGAGACTCGAGAGCGAGTCGGCGTGTGAGGAAAATGGCCGAGTCAGGGCGCGCTGCTTGCTCAACTCGTCGAAACTTTGACACAAAGTAACAAGTTCCGCAACGGTGGCAGGATTACGGGCGAGGAGCAGCTGATATGCACCGTCATTTATCCCTTTGAGGATGTGTTGAATCTTCTCCGACTCGGGCATGGTGGTGTTCAGTCGGTTGCAAAGTCCAATGATGTCTTCAATGTAGCTTGTGAAAGATTCCGTTGGTTTTTGTGCGCGAGTCCGCAAGCGTTGTTCGGCTCTGGACTTGCGGACAGCGGGTCGGCCAAAAACGTCAGCGAACAACGTTTTGAAGATGGACCACGTCGTAATGTCGTTTTTGTGGTTGTTATACCACATTTCGGCTACGTCAGTGAGGTAAAAGATGACGTAAGTCAATTTGTCCGCGTCATCCCACTTGTTGTTTGCGCTTACCAGTTCGTAGTTAGCGAACCAGTCTTCCACGTCAGTCTCATCAGCTCCGCTAAAGACTTTGGGCTCTCACAAACGAAGAACGCCGGGGTTGCTGGGGGATGGAGTGGAAGAGCCAGGTTGCGCGTTGTTGGTAGCCATGATGGTAGGTAGCGTTCGGTTGCGCAGCTCCAGGTTGAGGCGACGGCGAATGGCAGCACCCAGGTTCAGGCGACGGGGAATGTCAGCACCCTCCACCAATTGAAAAAGGGTTTATTGGCGACTGTTGCGACGGTGGTCCTACGATGAAACACGATCGGACAAGAGCAACGGTCGAGCAGATGCCGGCGATGATCAGCACGAGCCGAGCGAGCGAAGCCAAGCACCCAGTACCCAAGCGGTGGCGATGTTGTTTGCCAACGATGCGTTTTCTTCTTCACAGTTACAAGAACATCACACTTGTCAACCTAACACTTTATTCGCGCTTTGTACACCGTACTGACTGCAGATCCCTGGTTTACGTGGCTTTAAAGAGGATAACTAAAAAAACCACGGCAATCCACTCCGATTTGTAGAAAGTGCAAAGCGAGGTATCCGGATTAGGCGTCGAACTGATGCATACGCCTCCACGTATTTCTGACATGTTTTTCTTTGTGTCAACCAGGAAAGACAAGCAACTTTTTAAAGCATAGTACGCAGCACGGCTGCAGCTTTTCAGGCCTAGCTTTACCTCGTGAAAACACTTTATGACGAAGGTTCAGAGCATCTCAATGTGAACGTTCCCGCTGAACCACCCGAGTGAAAAAAAAATATGAAAAGAAACAGTTCTCTCATAACAAACTGTGGCGTACCCGGCGCAGAGCTCAATGGAGCGCCCGGCGTTCCTCAGGTGGAAACTGTTGGGCGTCTCCAGGTTATCGCCGTCCTGTAGCAACAGGCCGTCCAGGTCGAGCTTGGCGCGAACTCGGTACCCGCCGGCACCGATAAGCCGCGCCCCACTGCCTACGACGCTGCACACGAGCACCATGTCGGTGAACTGCGCCATGTAAGGGGATAGAGGGATGAAGAAAGAGAGAGAGAATGCATGGATGATGTTAACAAGAGATGGTACGGGATAGGCACGAGGGACATAGAATGACCCGCCGCGGTGGTCTAGTGGCTAAGGCACTCGGCTACTGACCCGCAGGTCGCGGTGTCGAATCCTGGCCGCGGCGGCCACATTTTCGACGGAGGTGAATGCTTGAGGCCCGCGCGTTTAGATAGAGGTGCACGTCAAATAACTTCAGATGGTCGAAGTTTTCGGAGCCCTCCACTACGCAGTCTCCCGTAATCATGTGGTCGTTTTGGGACGCCAAACTCCCAAGTACCAACTAGGTCGAGAACGGGGACCACAGAGAAAAAGAACGGAAACACGTGCTCGTTCGTGGACAGCGTAAAATCATGACTGCACAAGCGTTGAAGAAGGTTAGAACGTCAGCCTCTAATGAGGAAGGTACGGAATGTGATTACTTCTGCCGCCGCGCAACAGTAGGTTTATCTAATAGGATTAGAGGTATCCCTCCCTGGCCCTCGGCGTTGTGGTTACACATTTCTTGAAAAGGTGGCCTGTCCTGCTCAGTTTCTGCGTTCCCCTTCCTTACTTCTACACACGTCACTGCTCCGTGTCCCGTAATAGTCTTTTTCTCACATCTTATATCTCTCCTCTTTTACCTTACTTTCTTTTTTTCACTCTCACTGCCCCTTCAACCCCCGTTCTCTCGTCAGTGTATCGGTTGAGGTGTCCTCTCATGGGAGACAGTTATCGTTCACTCCTCACCCCATTTTTTTACCTTTCCGTCCTTCTCTAAAGAATCACTCCCTTCCCTCCCGCCTTATCAATTTCAGAAACATGCGTCCTATCTTCAAACCACTACTCTTGTAGTACACAGAGTCAGATGCACGAACATTCCGCTTTAAAAACACGCACACGGAATTTTGGCAGATGCAGCGTATACGCTCTCTGAACGATCATCGAGTAGTCTGAAGCATATGTAAGTAGATAAGAGGTCAATCGTTTGTAAGCAGTTATATACCAATTAGACCTATTATGGGCTCCGCAAACACGATTTCAAGGAGCAGAAACTGCCATACACGTATTTACAAAAGCCTCTCACGCCAAAGTTGCTCGCATATATTCCTCGAAAATCCAATGTTGGAGCTCAGCACAGTTAGGGCGGCCGGCCAGGCTAAGAGCACTTCCGAAATAACGGGTCCAGAACGGATGCTGATCACAAACTTGTTTACATAGTAGTGAATGCCATCGTATGATGAAAATGAAATGTTTGCAATACTGTGCATCCAGACAGCACACAGTGCCGAGTACATCTTTGTGACACACCAACAAAGAACACAGTCCGTGACAGAACAAAGCCGGACAGGCCAATATGTACGAAACTCTAGGTTATTCTATTGTACAGGCGCTCTGTCTCATTTATCTATGAACCACCGCATGTTTTCATCGAGCGGCCATGCTCCGAACAATATTATGTTTCCTGCAAATCAGGTGCCTTTTTTTCCATATTCCCCGTTGGTGATGCACAAAGCAATTCAAGTTGATCAAAGCGGGCATCCCATTTCTCGCAATGTCATTATTACATTAGCAAATATTTGTTCTTTCGAAAAGCTAACACAGTACACAAACGTGCACGTGCATGCCATCACAAACCGGCAGCTGGTGTTTACAATTTCAGGTTGCTTGAAACCAATGTATTGAATATATATATTGTTTGTCAGTGCTGATGTCTAAGCTTTGCACTGTCTCGGACTGCGGAGGGACAAGGGCCTTTGTCAGGCTGTTCGCCTTTAGCCCTTTGCCCCTGAAGTGAGCTCTGTATCCGGCTTACTGTAAATAAAAATACTACTACTACTACTACTACTACTCAGGTTCACAACAGGGTAACTAAGCTCGAAATGGTGATTATAAGGTCAATATCGTGTAAAATATTAGTGCCCAAACAAAAGTCAACGTAAAGATGGACGCTTGAAGACCATCCACGCGATAAAGGCAAGTGTGATATTAAATAATCCTATTTTTGTTGCTTCTGCATATGGCCGTAGAAGCATGTTGACTCACCACAAACAAGTACCGCTCGAAGTGGTCGCCCGAGCGGGCACTGATCTTGGTGACTTTTCCCCGTCGCAGCAACTCTCTCGTCGGGCTCACCAGGTCCACAGCGCCACCCACCAAGTCCTGGATCTCCAGCAGTTGTTTGAACTGGTCCTGCCAATGTTTTCGTTACACTGGAATACTTCGTGCATTATTGCAGAACCATACTCGACGCACATTCGGTGAGCGTCGAGTACAGCGTTCGAGTAACATTGAACAATGCCCCCATCCCTTTTCCCTGTGCGGGGTAGCGTACCAATTGTGTGAAACTAGTTAACAGCCCTGCATTCCGTCTCTCTCATTTTCCTCTCTTGAACAATGCCGCGTCCAAAATTTGTTCTTCTTCATCGCAACCAACAAATAAATTTTACATAGTCAAATTACAAACTTCTCGTCAAATTTCACTAAAATTTATTCATATTATCATAATCCAGGACAACAAAATGCTGTACCACAAATTGCAGGCATTCTCAACAGATAAACACGACGACGCCTCCTTCACGGCTACTGGACAGATGATACGGAAGCAGAAATAGTTTGGTCATCTTATTCACGAAGTTTATGAGGAATAATAATAGTTGTTGGTGTTTTAAATCCCAAAACCACGATGTGATTACGAGAGACGACGTGGGGAGCTTCGAAAACGTCAACCACTTGACGTTCTTTAACACGCACCTGAATAAAAGCCCAAGGACCTCTTGCACTTTACCTCTATCGAAATGAGGCCGCCACGGCCGATATTCCATCCCGAGACCGTCAGGTCAGCCGTCAAGAATCGTAGCCACAACACCACGGCGCGTATGTCCAAGTAGCGCGCAAATGAGAGCAGCCAATGCGCACCCAATTCTTTGCAATTCTTTGTTAGACTGACACATATCTGCCGGTACCCGTGCTTTCATAACGCGGAAGGCATTGCCAAGGGCGGAAAGCTCGCCGCAACAGAATCGGTCTCTTGTCACACAGTGACAGCAAGACCATTGCTGCTGTGGCGAGCCTGCCGACCTTGAGCTATTTCAGTGCTCATCTGTTACGGCTCGTGCCGTCTTCGCGTGCCCCTGAACTGGATCCACGGAGCTTCCGCAAACAACGTATCTCTTCCCCGCATCGCTGACTGTGCACAAGCATCAAGAGGGTCCGCTTCGGCCAACGCTATTTCTGCGGCACGGGGAGTCGGCTGCTGAGAGCCGCCTTCAACGCCTCCGCGCCCCGCCACTTCCCTGAGGTTGATTCACTTACTTCAGGACAGCTGAAGAAGCAGCTGCCGGAACGTAGAGTAAGGATCGCTCACAGCAAACCGCGGAACGAGACAATGCCAGCTTTGTCTACTAGCGGAACAGTGCAGACAATCGGCGGGGGGGGGGGGGGGTTAGTTCATTCAGCGCTTGGAGGTCTCGAATGAGCGTCCCTTGTACAAGCGTGCAGTCGTATTTTAGATCAGCCTTGTAGCACATCCGTCGCGGTGGTCTATTGGCTATGGTACTCGAGTGCTGGCACGAAGGTCACGGGGTCGAGTCCCCGTCCCAGCGTCTGCAATTCGATCGAGGTGAAACGCTAAAAGATCGCGGACTTAGTTATGTGTTCGTTGAAAAACCTCAGGTGGTCGAAATTTACGAAGTCCTACAAAATGATGTGCCTCGTTATGACATAGTTCTTTTGAGACGTGAAATCCCAGTAGTTATTAATATACTAGCCTTGTAGCACTGAGCTACTTACCAATACATTCCACGGTGATGCTTGAAAATAAACGCATCAAGCCACGCATTTTCGTGTAATAAAATGTCGGGGGCTTTACGTCCCAGAACCACGATTACGCTTTTTGCATAGATCCACATCGCGTTTCGCAGTACCTACAGACCCCCTTAGAAATACTTCATTCGCCATGCAGAGTTGAGTTGAAATTGAAATCCTTCTCGACTTCGGCAGAATAAGAACTGCAATCACCAGACATAGAGTTGAGGTTGAGATATATTGCATTTCAATCTTTCATGCTCGGCTTCGTGGTTCAGTATGTTCAGTATGTTCAGCCTCCTTCTGAAAGTTACCTGCGCTAACTGAACCAGAGATAATACTTTGATCACCGTGTTAAGGGGCAGCCATCAGTTTCTGACTGGGCTGGGCTGCAAGAAAACCTGAGTAAGAAAAAAAAAGAAAATGGATCGAAGAAGAAGGAGAAGACATGAACTATCATGAACTGCGTAGACTGTTTTTCGAGACTGAGATAAGAATCGATTAGTAAGAGTAATGAGGTTTTTACGTTCGATGCTAACGTAAATCATCTATCCGGGTTCGATTCTAATTAACGTTTGTTTTTTCATCAGACATGCTTCAACGTATGTCTTCTATTAACATTACGCATACCAGCGCGGTCTCTAAGGAGGCAATCATGAACTAAGCGATAAATTTTAATTTTATTACTTTAATTTTAACTGCGTATTACATCTGGCTGGTTCACTCCGGCCAGGACCTTACAGAATCAACATTATCTCGTAGATCGTGCGCAGAAGAGGAATGTCTTTTTTTAAGTTCAGCAGGCAAACCTACATTGACTGTTTCTTGAAATGGTGGATTACCGCTGAAAAGACAACGTCCTAATTAAATAATTCGTCTCATAAGAAAATTCAAAGCGGTCATTCATTGATGGTATAGACCTCTCACGCGAACAGTTGCATCAGTGAGTCAACGCGTCAATACAATATTTATTTTTGTTTTACGAGCTTTTAAGGATCAAGGTAATATATATATATATATATATATATATATATATATATATATATATATATATATATATATATATATATATGTTGAACAGCAGAAAGTCATTGATTAGCACTGGTCAGAATAAATAAAAGCGCGCTCACAATTTTTTTCATGGCCTGGTTGGCGTGGTCGGCTGCCTTGGACACCAGCTCCAGTGCTCCTAAAGTAACATGAGAAGGCAAAAGTCACACCAGCACAGTCGAGAGAAATTGCCAGTGAAAATTCACGAAGCAGGATTTTTTAAATGGAGCAGAGTCAGCCAGCCAGTGGAGACCTCAACAGAATGTCTTGTGTAAAATAAGCTAAAAGAATTCTGGTGCACTCAAGTTTACTCTTTCTCAAGTTCCCAGTTGCCGACGACTTTCAAGAAGTACACAACTTCACAGTGCACTCCGTGCAAACGTCGGAACATTTTCTGCTTGATTTGTTGACCTCACTTCAAACTAGAATGCCACAGCTGATCACGAAGCAAAAGAAATGACAGTTGAGGGATCGTATTTTTGGGGTAGTCGTGTGCACTACGACTGACTTACTTTCCGTGTCGTCTTTGTCGGGAGAGCACTCTGGCAGTTTCTTCAGGTACTCTGCAATAGGAAGGCCAACGTGAAAGTGCCACCCTATAGATACAATACACCACAGAAAAGAGGAAGAACTTTTCTTCAATCACTTATTGATATTACACAACAGCTCTCCATTGAAGTACGCGAAACCATGCAAATACCTTTGAGCAGCAATTGATATCGGGGCACTCTCTGTACAGGTGTGAGCATGTGGTGCTGCACTGTGAGGTTTTTGCATTCAGGCATCGCCTGCGGGCAAGAAGGGGCAAAAGTGTCACGCGAATATCACTGCAGTAGGAAAAAAAAACGTCCAAGATATGTAAAGAGACAAAAGCAAAACCAATAACAACGCCGGCATATGTAGTTTTCAACAACTTGAGCTGCAACAGTAAAGTTACATTCCAAAGGTCATAGCGGCTAAACGTTGCCCGTAGTCAGGAACATTTTGGGGGAGTGGGGGAAGAGGGCACTTGCTGAAGACCTTAAAAATTTCAGAAAACCTCATATTTTTATCACGTAATTCAGATAAAACACTCCCTACATCAGAATTTCGAAGACGGTATGGAGCTAGGGGAACCCCCCAGCCTCGGGCCAGTAATAAACGCAGTCGGGAAGCGGTAAAGTCTTCATGACACTGAATGTCCAAGCACAGAGGTATCACTGATGTTGCCATACTTACATTCATGTCAGTACCGTACAAGTAACTGTTCAATAAACAACAATTCGGTATTCCAGCTCATATCACTCGTGACAGTACGTAAAACGTTCTATACACATGCATACGGCACACGTAGACGTGTCATGCTCGCTCACGTGAATCTCATCGACGACGGCGGCAAAGCGCGGGTGCTTGGCATAGCACGAGGCGAGCAGCTGGACGGACTGGTCGAAGTTCTTCACGTACTCGGCGTACATCTTCAGGAACGGCGCGAAGTCCTTCATCACGTCCCCGATGCGAGGTTCGCGCTCCCTGCGCAGACAAAATCACCGCGGAATCTATTACTGCAGTAACGCCGCGATACGCACTCTTGCATCTCGAGAGGCATTCTGCGAATGTCAACCCGTGCGGCGCGGTGGCGTAGCGGTTATGGCACTCGGCTGCTAACCCTATGGTCCCGGGTTCGATTCCCGCATCAGCAGATGCCTTTCGACGGAGGCGCAATGAAAGAGGCCCGCAGGTACTGTACGATGTCAGCAGTACGTTTAAGAACATCAGGTGGTCGAATTTTTCGGAGCCCTCCGCTACGACAGCCTTTGTTATCACGCGGTGGTTTCGCGACGTTAAATCCCAGATATTAATATTTCTGTAATTGTTATCATAGTCAACAAGAAGTCCATTGAAAAACAAAGGTACAGTTGGCGTGAAAAGTTTAGAGAGCACTGTGTCAGAGAAAACCTTGCAATTTCCCAGAAATTTTTTAATCTTTTCGGTCGCACTGCCCAGTACACTATAACAGTTCGTTTTAGAAGAGGTCAGTAATCTGAATTCAATGCTGCCTGCTGAAGAAGCAGTGGGGCTATTCAGCTTTTTCTTGTGTCTCGTGGTCCCTAGTAGTTCGACACTACCTGCGCTTTAATTATAACAACCAACAAAAAGATGAATAATGCTTGAACAGGGAATGCCGCTCTGTCATCGTTTCGAGAAGCCGAAATGTCTTTGTCAAGGTTTTTGTTTAAGACAAATCCACCTGTAGAAAGCTTGTTCCTGCGACAACAGCTGTTCACGAATTTTTCATCAAGTCAGACCTCCACGTTCAACCCGAATAGTGTACTTGTGTAGACAAGGTTACTTAATCCGCGTGTGTATTCCCGACTTGTTCCGCTCAATCGCGGCACCTTCAGTCTCGTTATTATATGTCGTCCGTGGCGCAGGAGATGAGCAGGATATATCACAATATGAAAGTGGGCAGCGAGCCGAGCTTAATAAGAAAAGCGTCCAATTGGCTAACATATGTGGAGATAAATAATTCGAGGATCACAGTGAAATGTACAACGTTCTTTTATGTCCAGAGGCATGGTCAAAAGTGGGGGGGTAGGTGGCGGGGGGGGGGGGGGGGACTGTTTCTTTAGTCACATAAAAGAGGGGCGCGATATCAGCCTTGTACACTGATTTAACAGGGAGTAGAACGCCGTGACTCGATGAAGCGGGCGCAAAGTCAGCCTCGTACATTGACACCGACACTGACAAAAATTTTTCGCGCCTTGTTCTTTTCTTGTTATTACAACTTTTTTTCTTTGTAATTGGTAACTAATGCCCCCGCTTATCACGGCTGGAAACCTCGTGTGCGAGAGTGCGCGACGGTTACTTATTTAGAAACATATTTAGAGCAGGTAGTCTCAGTTTCAGCTTCAAAGAGCACCGAGCTAGGCAGGAGCACCTCCGGGCGCGAGGAACCACAGCTGCTGCCCACATGACCACGCAAGACTGTGACGAGGGCGCCGCGCGCCATAGAGTTTCTCAAAATTGACTAGAGAGCACTCTGGCGCTGCGATCGTTCAGCGACCATGGGAATGATGGGTAGTACACACATTTGCCTAGTCTTCGTACTTGCGGGTGGCGAATCGTACTTGCGGCTTCGTTTATTGCTGTGTTTCGATTTTGTTTTGAAAAAGAAAAAGATTCAACCATTTTGAACTTCGTGACCCAATTTGGAAAGGTAATTCAAATAAAAAATATAGGGTGGTGAAGCGCAAACGCTGAACATTTGCTGATTTTTGTTTCATGAAAAAAAAAACAGCTTCAAGCCACACGTACACACACGGAGCCAAGAGCAGGCCAGAAGTACGAAGTTTAGACAAATGTGCGTACTACCCATCATTCCTAAGCTCGCTGAAGCGCTGTGCATTGCATCTCCCATAGACACTAGCGCCAGAGTTCCCTCTAGTGTATATTGGGAAACTCTATGCTGCGCTCGAAAGCGTGCGCGAGCGGGCACCATACTGACAGCAGGCACACGCGAGGCCGCTGGCACGGAAGAGGAAATCAAACGTAGCGCAAGCGTAAGGCGCGTGACAGCAGCCAGCCAACACAAACTCGTGACGTAGGTTTGTTTACATTGCCCCTGAGTTGATTACGCCATCATCAGGAGCTTCGTATCTCGCTGCGTCGCGTAGCGTGCACTTTAAAATTAATTTTAAATGTGTTCTAGGCTACATTTGCCCTTCATTATATCGTAGATATTGTATATGTATCCCCATAAATCTGTTTCACTCATTATTTGACCTTCAAAATTTTGTGCCAGTGCTTCATCATTAGGGAGGAGAGATGCACTGCGACGAACTTTCACCTCCCCCCCCCCTTCCGTGAAAAGAAACTTTGCGCATGTCTATAGTTATGTCAGCTCACTTACTAATTGTCTTTGGACACTCATCCAAAATGCATACATACGGAAACACATACTTTAAAATCAATGCGTGCTTTAAGTTCGTGCTGTAAGCATGAGAAAACTGACCAACTATGCGAGCCACCGCCAACTTGCATGTGAAAGAGACGCTCCAAATTTAACACAGAAATGGGAGAGTGGAGTAGAAGACCGGGAAGTTAGGCAGTTTTCAGACCGGCTGGCTATATTTTGCCGAAGAACGGCATAAGCGGAATGAAAACGATAGGAAAGAGGTGTTCCAAAAGCAGCGGGAAAAAGTAAAAAAAAATAAAAGGCAATAACAACACGAGTTTTCTTTAGGCTAGTTGGGAACAGCTTAACTGTACACAAGAAGTAGCAGGTCTGCAAGACCCACCAGGCGTCCAGCCTTTCCTGTAGTCTGGGCAGCAGGAAGTCGTGGTGAAGCCTGAAGAGCGGCTTGAGGGGCGCGAAGATGGTGGCCACCGTATTCTGCGGCACCATGGAGTGGGCGCGGTTCTCCTGGTCCAGCCGGAAGGCCAGCGTCTGGTCCAGCAGCCGGAGCACGTCGACGTACGTTCGCTCCGTGCTGAGGAGCTCCTCAGCCACGCGACCCGCAGCCAGCCCTGCGGGCTTGAAGCACAGACGCGCACAGGTGAAACACCTATAGATACCTGTCCAACACTTCACGCCTTGATTATTCATTCCTTAGCGCTATTTTGGAGTTAAGAGCCTGATCTGCATATTGTAGTATGGCAGGACTTGCAGTCACCGTACCATACGCTGCCGAACATACTTTACCTAAATGCAACTTGTTCATTTATAGTAGTAACCAACGAAGAGTACGTTGTTGGCAGGCAGACATTACTTTATGTCTTCTACATAATGATATTTATTTTCCAGCTTTGCAGCCAGTCCGCATAGTGAAAGCAACCCTCTCGTCAAGTTAGTTACCAAAGTTAGCAATGAAGTATTGGCCAATCTTGGCAGCGATTATGTGATACTCTCGTCGAAGGTCAAATGCAAGTTCCCCTTCGTTTTTTATACGATGTGGTTGTCTATAACTTTCCGAAATTACAAATTTTACGCGATGAACCACACGGCGATCTAGACTACTACTTAGCCACTATCCACAAATATAGCCTCCGCGAAAACAAGAACGTTACAGATAAGTCATAGACAGTAGCCAGCAAAGTTCTTGTCTACGATATTCCAAAATTAGACCTGCACACGCCAAGATTTTTTAGTGTAATCAGCATCAAATCTCATCATATAACGTGAATTTATGTGGATTGTCGAATTCACCACTATATCGTTTCCGCTTAATTGGATCAATACGGTTGCAGGAATTGGTTCGAGACGCCCACCTTGAACAATCTGAACGCATGGCGGAATTCGCAGATGTCCGGAATAGCACCTTCAACCATTTCATGACTTGGTGCTTCTTGAACGCCAACAATATTTTTATCGAACTTCCTTTTCACACTATTTTAGAACTATGACCTTGACCAAATGTACCGTGAATGACACAGACGCAATGGTGACAGGAAATGAAACGCCAGGGGTCCCAGGCCACGTACAACGTCTTCGATGTACTGCCACATGGTTGCGTCATTATATATGCAAAGCACACACGTGATGGTATGGACTGCCTACCTCCGACTGCGCAGTGGGGCTTCGAGCTGCGGTTGTCGCTGCCAGGCGGTGGTGCTCGTCGCCATCCGGGGACTCCTCCTCGTCTTCGCTCTCGGACAAGCTCTCGTAGCTGCTCTCAAGGCTCGCGCTCACCTCCTGGTTGCGAAACCTAGAGGGCGACAGGAAATGCATTTGCAACATTGCTGCATGTTTCGTAGCCTCAGGTCTGGGTCGTTTCACCCACGATACAAAAGAAAGCTTTGGTGGGTCACAAAGTTAGGCCCTATAAGTTGGAGGATAATGAAGAAGCCTGAGAATTTAGTCAATGTCCCGCGAGCGATGGAATGAATCATACTCGGTGTACCCCCAGGAGACCCGAAAACAGTTCTATGAATTCTAGATAACCAATGAAGGTAGTGGATATTCAGCTTCACATAAAGAGAAAACCAGCCTGTTGAGGATGTCATGTAGCGAGTAAGTAAGATAATCTTTGGTAGAGTTCCAACGTCAAGACAGTGAAGGGACTGGCACTTTCTGACAGCAAGGAGCAGCAAGGAGTCTGACAGCATGTGATGCATGACCTGCGACACCAAGAATCACATTTCTCGTGGCGTTATACTTGAGGTAATAGCCTCCACTTTAAGGCAAACTTAACATGCGAGGCTGTAGAACAAACAGAAGTTATGTGGTCATAGATGAAAAGTTCTTGAAAATAAGTCATGGCAGCAGCCAACGTGTCGGGAAGTGATGCATATGTCTCCTTCGAGGGTCAGTCACATGTGCATCACTGCGCGTCCTCGCATTTTAAGTTATAAGCGCTATGATTTGATACCGCAAATAAATTAATCACTGCTACATCCACACGGCAACCCTCATATATAGACATGAGGTTCCGAAGGTCAGACTGCTTTCTTCAGAGGCGTCATAATGGTAACTCGTCACCGCTAATACTGATAATACTGATAATCATATGGTGGTTTTGGGACGTTAAACACCAGAAATCATCATCATCAATATTGATAAAGCCAACGTTTCGATAAGGGGCATTGTCTACGTCAAGGGTAAGATGCGAGGCTGGCTAAGATAGGATATCTTTGAACACGGTAAGCCGGCAAGCTATGGAACTCTTACTAGTGGCGTTTCGCCGGCGTCCGCGAGCTTGGTGCGGCTGCAAACGCGCGAGAACGTGTCCATCCGCAACACCGCGAACAACTTGCCTCGTTCCGCCGAGATTCCACCTTACACCCGAATGTCTTCGTGAATGTTCCCTCTATGTACTAGTAGCCTTTATTCTGGACAAGTCACCTTGGTAAGCTGTGGAAAAATACGTATGACAATCTGTTGGTCTCGAACACACACACCCTCTGTTCAAGAGTTTTCTCAATGCAGGCTTTCATTTTTCCCCTTCCTGTAGTTTCTTGACAAACTGTAGAACTTATCTTCGGGACTGACGATGGCACCTTCATCAAGTTACATTTCCGAAACTAAAGCAAAATGTAAAGCATGCGGACTGAATTCCTCGTTTTAGAAAAAGTCCTCCTATCGAACCTCTTCTGTGCTTATGCCTATAGACTCGGATCTCGATCGTGCGGATCTCGATCATGCCTCACCTGAATGTGTTGGTCTCCCCGCAGTACTCGAAGTGCGTCCTCGTGGTGGTGAAGTGGAACGAAGAACTCATCCGGCTCGGAATGCCGCCAAACGCGTTCGTGGCGCTGCCACACGCGCCAGCCTGCAGCGTCGTCGGGAACTCGGAGAACGGACGCGGGGGTTTGGGCCTCAGCTGGGGCTCGGACACGGCGTCACTCAAGAAAGCGCCGCTGGCCCTGGGAAGACAGCAAGAGGACGCCACCTCTATTGGAGCGGGATATCTACGGAAACAACTGTTGGCATTTGCAGAATCATGGGCCACAACGATAATTATAATGATAGAAAGCTTAACTGTTGGTATACGGATGCATCCTAAAAAAAAAAAAAAAACTGCAGGCGTGCAAACGCGGATACGAGAGAGAAGTCCTGTCTTTTCTCTCTTATGTCCATGCTTGCACGCTTACCGTCCTTGATTAGGAATGGTAAAAAGCACAAGCAGCAGTCATTATAGAAGACGATGACGTATTACAAGATAATTAATATTATTAGTAATAAATGTAATAGTGAGAAGCAGAAGACTAATTGGTAATTGACAAGCCTATGCTAATATGAGCTTTTAACGAAGATAATATCAAAAGAAGTAATGTTTTATGAAGCTTAACATTGCCTGATATACCAGCTCGGGCGTAGAAATGTGGGTGGTGGGTTCAAACCGATTTTGCCGAAGTCACATGGCACCCATCGCAGGTGCTTACATTAGGCGCACGTTAACAGGTTTCATCAATGAAAGGAGATATTTTTCGTCCAATTTAATTACTTTCCAATTACAACATTATTATTAGATTACAGCAACATTAAACAATTGATCCTCCCTATGCTATTCCTGGTCTAATGGTTTGTTAGATTCAGTTGGTTGAAAACATTACGCAGCCAGACAATATTCCGGCTGTTCCGGTCTCCGTGCCCCTGATCCGTTCTTATGCATAAGACTCGACTCCAGTATATCTTATGTGCCCTTGTTATAACAAGATCATGGAGCCAGGAACTACGCTCCTGCGATCAATCAATCAGTAAGTAAGTCAATCTGTCAGCCAATCAATAAACTGCTCACCTGTCCCAGAATGGGCAACCCCTGAGTAGCGCCCTCAAGTCCGCCGATCCCATAGAGAGGGCGTCCGGTTCGGGAGGCCTTCCGAGGACTTCCCTGAGGTCGCCTTCACTGGACGACGCAGCGGGACCACCAGCGACGCCATTGGCGTTCGCTCCTTCGGGCTCCGTGAAGACACCCGAGTCGCGGTCACTGCTGGGACCTCCTGCCGACGTCGACGTCGAGGTTGTGGCACCCCCGCTGCCCTCGGAAGCGGTCGCACCGCGCAACCGGCAGGACTCGATGCGCAGCAACCGTGCGAAGCTGTCCCTGTTCTTCTTGACGAAGTCGGCCAGCTGTTCCTCGGTGGCGCTGGCACAACGCTGCCGCGCTTCCTCCAAGAAGTGCTCGAAAGGGGGTGCACCGCGGTCGTCCGTCGCGGCGACGTCTGCAGCGACGGCTTCCGTCACGTCAGCGCCGTCCAGGACGTCGACAGCGCCGCTAGCCATGCCCTAACCGGGAAGACGAGTACGCGACGCGGGAAAATTAGAAACCTGTCTACGTTCGGAAACATCGACTGCTTCGTTACTCCACGTTGTGTTCATCTTTGTATGGTATTATTGCTTCTATAAAACTGTTCGCGCCGGCATGGGGAACATCGCGGGGCTGGTATAGTCGTCAAGTGGGTGATTCAATAAAGTTCTTTCTTTTTCTCTCTCTCCCTTTCTCTAAGCTTCAGTTGTCAGCCTGCAGAAGTAAGTAATAAACCTGTCGTCGCTGTATAAACGTTAACCTAACTATAAATTTTGAGAAGCAAAGTCGTGTTGGAGGTATGTATGTATGTATGTATGTATGTATGTATGTATGTATGTATGTATGTATGTATGTATGTATGTATGTATGTATGTATGTATGTATGGGTGGATGTATGTATGTATGTATGTATGTATGTATGTATGTATGTATGTATGTATGTATGCATTTACTTACGTACGTACGTACGTACGTACGTACGTACAGCAGTAACACTTCACTGCGTGCTTCGTCATATACTTCAGAAACGCCCTTCGCATCGAACCAGAGTGCTTGTCAGCGTTATAGCTTGTCATATAGCACACAGCATAGCACTGTGATCATGGAAGCAGGACATCTCACCTGTATTCCAGCGCAGTCCGCCATGGCAGAGAGCAAAACCAGGCTGCTTCTCCTCGTGTACGCCACCAGTTGAACTTCCTCGCTTCCACAGACCCCTGTAATGAGCCACGGATGTTCTGTCATTGATCAACGATAAGTTTAATACCACAGCTGATATCGATAAGCAGATGAAGCGTTACTGCGGGCAGAGAGGCTAAATGGCCAATAAATGGGATCTGGCACCACCTCGTACGAAGCGTAAAAGTTCTGCCCAATATTCGCACGGCACACTTCGCTGAAGCCCTGACCACACCGACATGTTGCAGCACGTTGGAGCGCGCAGTGCCCTATCCCTATGTGAACCCTCTCCCTATGAAATGAAAGGACGCGCAGCTCCACGTAGCTTCACGCTCTCTTCCTTCATAGGGAAAAGACGGGGATATGAAGAGGGAAATGAGGACAAGGCACGCACTGGCGCGTTGTAGCACACACATGTTCATAAGGGCTTTGCTCGCGTATTACAGCAGACAATTGAGCAGTGTTTGAACACAAATGCCTTTATAGAATTTCTATGCACCCATGCGCAAACTACTCATGCGCATCAATGTTCATCAGCGTATGACGATAACCTGAGAATTTCTGCACGACTAGAGCTGTAGCGCATATTCGCCACAGCCTAAAGTTTCTTGAGAGCATGCAGCCGAGCGTGAACGCTGAATACATGGTAGAGGGAGAAAGCTTTCAGTCTCCACATTTTAGCATCGCCAGGTATGCTTTGCCGTCACATGAGAAGCAATGAGCGTTCTTTTTTTTTTAATTCTGGCTTCTCCTTTCCATTCACATATTAATCTGTGTCTTCAAGTTATCAATAACAAAAAGTCACGGCTTTGCTGCAACGGCAAAGCAATGAACGCGATAGCAACAATTTGGGAGGTCACGCGCAGTATGGTAAGCAGATCAAAACGTACTCCGCGTTTCTCACGCACAAGTGACGCACGAAACGTACTGACAGGTACAGATTCACGCGAATAAGCGCTTCAGTTGTTACTTCGCTGTGTCTGAAAAAGCGCGCGCTTTTCACAAACTGCGACTGCTATGATTTCAGTGACCTTTGTGCGACCGCTATCAACAACGAAATTGTTCAAGGTAAAGCCCGAGGCCAGTCAAGATATACGATCTTCTCCGCCACCCCACCGCGATATAAGGGTGCGCGAGGTAGAGTCACTCCTCTCCTCTAAGCGGGCCAAACTACGCGTTGGAGATTAGAGAGGCACGCCGTCGCGCGATGTGGCGACGCGCGCACATTGCGCCATCTTGTTGGTAATGCTGAAAACACGATAATTCCCCCCGAGATGCCCGTGAGCAGCGGTAAGTGGTAAATATATTTAGCTTGCCGTTTGAACACTGAAGGACGTTCTCCTCGGTGGCTCAGTGGTTAACGCCTCGCACTCACGAATGAGAGGGCCCAAGTTTGATTCCACGCACCGGAGTCATTACTGGGCTTTTTTTTTCTTTCTTGCATTTGCATATATGTAGATACGTCTACATATATGGTGAAGGACGCTGACGTAGACGCCACCAGCGCAATCCAGCCGAGAGTGTCCATATAATTGCTATAGCAATAATAAAGTAGCATGTAATTAATTAACGCACGAGAACGAACGTCCATCCTCAAAAACTGCGTCCACGTGCACTAGTGCCGTCTCAGAAGAATCAGGAATTTCAGAAAGACACTGATTTTTATAAACAGTTATTGTTCACATTGCTAATTATTTAAAAATACTTTTGGTCACATGTTTTCCGCCGTTTCTCAATATTCAAGACGGCTGCGTTTAAAGTACGGGCTAGTGCCCAGTGTCTGTTGTGTGATCAGCCTATGTAAGAAACCTTGAATTGAACTCTTCTGTAAATAGTGAACATTTTTGAGTGTGAACATTGTTGTTGGCCCAGTAAACATTGTTTTTCTGTGTGTTCTTTATGACGTAATGTTTACGCATATTCTCTTGCATTTTTAACAGTTTTCTAGCTTACTTACCTACCTACCGACTTACCTACCTACCTACCTACCTACCTACCTACCTACCTACCTACTTACCCACCTACTTACCTACCTACCTACCTACCTACCTACCTATTTACCTACCTACCTACTTTCTATCCACCTACCTACCTACTTTCTATCTATCTATCTATCTATCTATCTATCTATCTATCTATCTATCTATCTATCTATCTATCTATCTATCTATCTATCTATCTATCTATCTATCTATCTATCTATCTATCTATCTATCTATCTATCTATCTATGCTCCTTCACGGAATTCGATAAATTGCGGCCACCTCATGTTCTCTACTCACCCGATGCGTGCCCAGTGGTGCCGGACACTATGGAGCAGCGACGGGGTGGCGTATCAGACTCGAAGCTGCCGGACTGCGAGGACCGCTGACGCAGCAGCAGCGTCCACCGGGACAGCCGGCGCGAGGCAGCGCCGTCCGGAGAACTGCAACCTCCATCCCCTCCCCGCATAGCGGTGAACGGCAATACACACGACCGTCCTGCAGAAGAGAGAGATAAATTATGCAGTTGCACTAATTGTAAACTCTGTACATAGAAAGTGGAGAGCAGTTGTTTGTGCGAGTCCCAGTTCAAGTCCTTTGTAATTTAAGCAAGCCACTTCGTGTAAAATATAATATTCGATGGCGAGAAACTTGGGCTCCCCCTTTTTTAGCGAACCTGTGATGGAAAAGACCAGCTACCATACCCTATATCTGTCTGAGGTGGAAAACCTAAGTATAAATATCAGTTCGCCTCGAATGCTAAAGCAGTATTTTTTTTTCCTTAGCCACGCGGCTATATGTGAGTAATGTATGCCATACTTGAGTTTCTTTTTCTAGTTTGTTGTGAGATATCTTTCATTTTGGTTGTGTGTGAAAGCCATTTTACATACATTTATGTGCATCGAAATCTGTATGGTTTAACTGTGGTGCATATGTGGTGCATATCCCGCTGTCACCATGCTACCGGAAAGCTGTGTACTGTTCGCAAAAATTATGTGTGTCTCGGTATGCATGTAAAAAAGAAATATTCGTGGCGTCATATCTTTGTAAAACGCGTGTCAGTATTCTATTTGTAATAGTTTGTGCATTGATGTACTGCAGCCTTTTTTTTTTTTTTGCTCAGGCGTGAAAAGCATCGACTGTCTGCTGCCGCATTCTGTTGGGTCAAAGGCCTTTAATAATCGGCTGTTATAGCAACTTTTTTGCTTCTGTGCTAGCATATGTTTCGCAATCAATGCCGAAATAAAGAAAACTTGAATATAATTCTCCTGTCTTTTAGAGACGAACTCAAGGAGCATGTGTGAAGGGGGAGGGGGGGGGATAGTTGGTAAGGCATTATATGACGCCAACCAATGAGAGCATATTACCCTTCCCTTGCTCTCCATCCTCCTATCGGTCCTCCTCCACCTCATTCCCATTTTCCCACCTCCTTGCTATGCAAGGCTGTGCTACAGATGGCTATGTTATACGAGGCGTCTGCGTCGCGCCAAATGACGACGAAAGAATATAATTCGGGCCCCTAATTAAAGCGTTCTGCGCTTACAATACTGTTGTAGACGAGTCAAATCACTGGTTAAACTGAGTTTCTAGTAGGACTGAATGAAGGCTGTGTCACTTCTTAACACCGCGTTGCCAAATATTGTCGAAAATTCGAAACCACTCAGGTCTTCTATAGCCAATAATTACCTATCATTTTAGTCAGAGTGTATTATCAGACTAGAAACATTTACGATAGCCTAGCCAGCGTTATTGATCACTGAGCCAAATTAAGACAACAACACTAGAGTCAATGTTTGTCAACAGCAGCTGACATCGGATTTCGCCAATGCTACTTCGTACTAAAGAATGCTGGTTGTAAGTGAGTCGATACGATAGTTGATTTTCGTCACAATCATTCTTGAGGATTTCCAGAAAATCCTGTTGACAACATTTTTCGGATGCGATAATCAAAAGTGGAAAAAAAATCGGTAGATCTCACGTATACTGTGGAAATCGATGATGTGCGAAGCTCGTATGAGGAAGGTTGAATTGTCACATTAAAATCAGCACAACTTTACGAGGCAGACGTAAATTATGCCGCACATAACGGCGACACGAGAATGAACCCTGATTGCCAACTGAAAGTTTTGTTGAAGAAAACAAGTATAAAGATGCATGCAGGACAGAGAGAGAGAGAGAAAAAAAAAAGCACCCGGCCTGCTCGGAAGGCGCAGCACAGTCACCGCGAAAGCTAGACGGGGGGTCTTTCAGAGCCTCTTCTAAACACTCATTGGGCAACTGCTGCAGGCACACTTGCTTGATGCCCACAACGGCATTAATAATAAAAACTTTAGGGTAGTAGGCCAGCATTCGCTATGCTATTCTTCGTCATTCTTCTGAGAAGCGTGGTATCCGCTAAACTATTGCGAGGAATTTTGTGCCAATTGTTCATGCAGTGGCTGACGGCGATGAGAAATTACGGCTGAAGTGGGTATGCGCCACATTAATTAGCTGAACAAAAACAAACTTTTGTAATGGGTTGGAGCATTGGACAACCCACTCATTACGCTATTCCCATTGTGCGACGACTGCTTGCTGCTTCGCAGTTTTAAAACGCTTAATAAGTCGCATTAACGCGATTGCTCTCCCGACATCAAGCCTGCCTAAGGCAAGTTTGCCAACAAGTCACAAGCGTCATCGTAGCTCAGTGGTAGAATACAAGGCTAGCACCCAGCGCACCCGGGTTATATCCCCACTGTATCTTTATTACTGTTTCTTTCTTCTAATTCCGTGCGATGTGGTTACGGACACCGGTGGCGGCAGCGGACAACAGCACTGTGCGAGACATGACTTGTGGTCTGATAACAGCTTTCGTTGTAACTTTTATTCATGCAGGCTGAGAGGGTCGTCCTCCTTCGGTGGAGCCCTTAGTTCAGGACTCCATTGGCTTACGCACACTACGTGTCCTCTGGATCAGCCGACGCTGCTCCTGCGGCTCTGAGCTGGTCAACGCAGTCTCCCAGGATGAACATGAAGGTGAAGGATTACGGCCGTATCGTGGAGTTGGCAGACATTCCCAGGTGCAGTGATACACCGTGGGTTTGGCTCCACAATAAAGACATTACGAGGGATTTTTTTGTAGTGTGGAAGAGATGAAGGATCTAAAGGCAAGAGGATGAATCAGTCTGAAGCTGCCGCCGGGCAACAGAGTACTCTCGGTTGATGAATTTGTGTGGTGGCGGGAAGTGCATGCGGCTTTGTCGGCAATACTGTAGTGTGTCAGTGTAGTTTAATGCTTCATTCGATGCATCGTCTGAGTTGGACAGCCATTCCGATGGAGCCAGGTTTGTATAAGCTGTCGAGCTGCCGCATTAGTGGGTTCATTGACATAGAAAGAGGCATGTCGAGGTGTCCAGGCGATACGCCTCCTGTGTAAAGAAGTGGGATGTGCAGATGTCAGGATACGGTGCTTGTAGCGTAAGACCATTCATTTCGCAATATTCCGGCAGGCAGTTTGTTAATCAGTAATCACTGTGATTGGTTCGTGCGGTGCCAATAATTGTGAAGCGTTTATGATAGCAAAAGGAATAGCAGCCACTTCGGTCGTGCAGAAAAGCGTGAAAAGAGATTCGTTACACCTGCTACTACAACAACAACATAGGTCACGAGTGTAGATTGAGCCCTGATCGATCAGTATCGATCGTACAAAGAAAGTATGCATGCACGCCCATACCCAATCCTGGAGAACTCTGCTCGCGAAAGGTAGTGGGTAAGCAGCTCAAACAATACTTCGCTTTCCAAATGCGCAGTCAGCCCTGTCATTCTCCAATACCCCTTTGAGAAGCATAATTACGCATGCCGAACCACTCTTTCGAACTATGCAGTATAGATGCAATGACATATATAAGATCCCTTTGAGCGTAGTGTAAGTACCACATCGGTACCCAGCAGTCGAGAGTACCGCGTTCGCTGCTTCGACGCTTTCGGTCCGGCCAAACCCACTGCCGAACGTACTCGAGGCAACGAATGTTTGGGAGGGTTTCGTGCAGAACCCGACACTCGGTCGTCGATCCATAATGCGGGGCGCTTGTCGCTGGGAGCGCCCTGCACACCCGCTCCGGGAACATTTCGAACCGTCTAGTCCTCTGGGCGCGCTAGGGGCCACGAAGTCGGATCGGAACAGGGTTCCACGAAAGTGGATGGATCTTCGCCCGTGGTAGAAAATAAAAGTATCAACTTGTGGTAGCCCAAGTTGATCCTTCAATTTTTTTTCCCTCGATGAACCCGCTTGTGGTTTAGTAGACTCTAAAGATTCGATGGCACGAAAAGGTTAGGGTAATCGTGAGGGCAATGATCTTTATGAGTCGACAATGACTCGGGTGCCCGAGTCATTGTCGAGGCCGCGCAGATGGCACGCGAACAGGTGCCTTGTATTAGCAAGCCCTCCGTGGCTTTGTCCGAGAAGGAACTCGGGTTCCTCGAAGGTTTCGGTGCGCGCAAGTAGTTATATTGTCACGTGATCACAGAACGACCACAACGTCTGTTCACAGGAGCAGCACTGGACGTCGAGCCGAACCGAACGTTAGAGCACGAGCACACGAACCGTCCTCTTCTTTCACACCATGGCACATACTCGCATTGGCATGGCTAAACCTCGTTCCATGCCTGTGGCAATACCCCCCCCTCCCCCTTCGAAAAAAAAAATACCACCCCGATGACCAACGCCGATTAAAAGTTAAAGTAGTCGCGTAGACGCACAAAGACGCATGATGAAGCAGTGTCAGGTGGCTCGGGGGTAGTGTGGCTTCATCCGTGACACATGAACATTGTCGGCCTGCTGGGAACATTGAGATCGCCGAGCTGTGTCTTCAAGCAGAATTTCGTAGTTGACATCTGTGAGGCGCCGTAGTACTCTATAGGGACCCAAGTAGCGGTGAAGTAACTTTTCCGAGTGGCCCCTTTTGCGAACGGGGATCCACAGCCAGACCAGATCACCGGGTCGGTTAATGACATGGCGATGACGGGAGTTGTACCTCTGCGAGTCGATGCGTTGTTGTTTTCGGATCCGCTCGAGTGCAAGCTGGCGGGCCGCGTCGGCGAGTCGGATAAAGTCGTTCGCATCAGTAGTAATATCGGTCGTGTCAGGCAACAGCATAGCATCAAGCATCGTAATTGCTTCTCGGCCGTGAAGCAACCGGAAGGGAGTGAAACCCGTAGTCTCTTGAACCGCAGTGTTGTAAGCGAACATTACGTATGGCAAAATTGCATCCCAGTTTTCGTGATCACGGTCGACGTACATAGATAGCATGTCAGCGAGCGTCTTGTTTAATCTCTCCGTCAGACCGTTGGTTTGTGGATGGTATGCGGTTGTTTTGCGATGAGCTGTTCCACTAAGTCTCGTGACGTCTTGCATCAATTGGGCTGTAAAGGCTGTTCCATGGTCAGTGATAAGAACTGTTGGCGCTCCATGGCGGAGGACGATGTTGTTGATGAAAAAATACGCAACCTCATTGG